CTAATTAATTTATACATTCTCTCTTGTAGTTATCATTTTTGTGGTGAGAACACTTTAGATTCACTCTCAGCATTTAAAAAAATAAAACATTATTCATGATAGTCACCATGTTATACAATAGATTGCTTAAGCCTATTTCTACTGTCTAACTGAAATTTTGTATCTTGTGATCAACATTTCTTCAACCCCTCCTCCCCATCTCCCCAACACCTACTGATCACCATTCTGTTCTCTACTTCTATGGCATAAATTCATTTGAATCATGTGGTGTTTGTATTTCTGTGTCCTACTTATTTCACTTAACATAATGTCCTCTAGTTCCATCTATGTTGTCATAAATGCCAGAATTTATGTGTTATGACAGAATAGTACTCCATTGTCTATTCTACACTGTATGCATACATCAGAATGTCATGCGGTATACAGTAATGGTGTACAATTTTATTTGCCAGTGTAAAAAGAAGAAAGGAAGTAGATAAGTGTGCTAGACGAGAAGATAATGAATAAAGTTAAGAGTCAGCAAAGATTCTTGGGGAGATGCACATTTAAGAGATGAGAGAATCAGTTGGAAGTAAAGGGAAGGCAATGCCAAGAGGGTTTAGTGCAAAAGAAGTCTGTGGGTAAAAGCATTTTAAGGAATGCTTGGTCTGTAATTTTGGGTGTTCTGGACAAACACAATGTTCAATATTTGGATGATGAGCACACTAGAAACTCAATATTCACTGCTACAAAATATACCCATACAACATATCACATGCATCCCCTGAATCTAAAATAAAATAAAATAACGCTAAGAATGGTAAACACCGAGAGAAAAATAATCAAGGAATTCTGTGAACCCTGGTCATGGGAAAGTTTTTGAGTAGATATTGGCAAACTGCAGCCAACAGGTTAAATCTGGCCTGCTGACTGTTTTTGTATAGACCATGAGCTAAGGACATTTTGATATGGTTGAAAAAATTTTAAAATAGATGTAATCAAGTGTGATCAGGATAATATTTGTGGCATGTGAAAATTAAGAGAAATTAAAATTTCAATGTTCATAATAAAGTTTTATTGGAACATGGCCACACTAGTTTGTTTACATACTATTTATGACTGTTCTTTCATTACAACAGAGTTGAGTAACATGACAGGGAGTATGGTATTGGTTGCAAAGCATATAATACTAACTGTCTTGCCCTTCACAGAAAAATTCTGCTGACCCCTTATTTAGAGTTAAAATAGTAAATGAAATATATACTTAAAAAGTCTAATAGACTAACAAGAGAATACAGCTCTTGCTTGAAAAATAGAGGATAACACTAGAAATAGAATTCTGAGGATTACTGCAGAGAGTGAAGAACTGAATATATTAGAGTATATGACAGTTGACAGGTAATAAGAATTTCAAAAGAGTGTTCATATATATTATTTCATGTGATCTTCAAAACAGTGAGGTAAATATTATTGTATCTAATTTATAGATGAAGAAGCTTAGGTTCTAAAAGATATGTGTCTATACTTTGGAGAACAATTGCATTCATAGATGGAAAGTGACAGAGAAGTACCATCTAGGAGAATGTAGATATCTTGGTATGTTCTGGGCAATATTTTTCATGTTTGTTGACTTGGTGATTAAACAACTCCAGAGTCACATTTTCTGATTTGTATCCTTGTTCTACCACTACTGACATTATACTCGAGTAAATCACTTACCCTTTGAGAGAGATTCAATTTCTCCATTTATAAAATTGGAATAATAATAATACCTCACAGGATTACTATGAAGATTGAAGTTTCAATATATATATATGGTGCCTAGAAAATTGTCTGTCATATATAAGTGCTAGACATTTTTCTTGTCTTTGGTGACAAATTCTAAGATCAATAGATACATAATATAGCCTCATCCAGAGGACACTGATTCAAAAAGCCATTGACAGTTATTTATATCAGAATCCTGCTCTATAGATGTAAGCAGAAGTCTAAATATACAGCCATCTGGCAAAATACATCAGAGATTCGACTTACCTCAATTGTCTTGAGCTTTGTACCTCAGTTTCTTTGCTTAACTCAACCAAAGTGATTCAATAAATAATCTTTACCTAGAATTCCTAATGAATGAAGCATTCTCTTAAGTTCTATTTTGAAATTTTCACAGTGATTGAAGTTGATTGATGGCATATCATAAATCATTCACAGAAGCACTTAAACCTTTAGTAAAGGTGACAGTAACTTAATGTTTTGTTGCTGCTATTGTTTCTTCTGTGAAAAAGGAAAAAAAAAGAAAAAAAGAAAAAGGACCAGAATCTTCTAGAACTTCTAACTTTGCAAACTGTTGCCCAAGTTTCAGTCCTTATCGTCCCATAGATAAACGTCTGTTGATTGTAATTCACCTTATGAGTTGAAATGTTATTAAGGAAATCGAGTGCAACTGATGAGCTCCCTGCCTACAACAGGGTCATTCTCAATGTTAACCAATAATCGACTGTGTTCTCTGCAAGGCAGGTAGATAGCAGTTACAATTATTGTCATTTTGTGCCTGGGGAACCTTAGACAAGAGGGTTAAGTGACTTCCTCAAGGTCATATTGGAAATCAGTGGCATTCCAAGTAACAGACCTTGGACTACACTTAACCAGTTTATCTCTTGAATAATTTTAACTTTATTAGAATAGTAAATCATTTTCCTTAATATGCCAGTGTATACTTCAGCATTATTTATTAGATCCAGTGCCCTACCCTCATTACCTCTGAGATAGAGGATATAAAAGGAAGCCTCTGCTGAACCTATCTAAAACTATTATTTGAAAGTTTAAACACTTTTATAGGAATGGAGAGCTAGATAATGACCAGTAGTCAGGATGGGGAAAACTCATTTCTATTTTTGAGCTAGTTTAATGGGTTGGTAGCTTATAATTTACTTAACATGCTTGCATATTACTTTTCATTTCAGAAGTAGTGAGCTGTATCTTCATTTACGTGCCTTGCCATATGCCTGCAGTAGTAAAAGTTGCTCTTCTCTTACTGAATCACATAGGGCATAGTTCCTGAGAGAAGTGACTATAAACGATTTTCAGATGCTAAGGAAGAGTACTTGTGTTAAAAACCTAGTATCATGCAGTTTAATTTGATTTTTCTAAGAAAACACTACTAATACAATGAAAAATGTTCATATGAGACATGTGAATACGTTTTGATTATTTTCATATTGAATAAGAAATAGCTATTATCTATTGTGCATTCAGTATGTGTCAAGCATTGTGCTACAACACTTTTTTTTTTTTTTTTGAGTCGGAATCTCACTCCCAGGCTGGAGTGCACAATGCTCATAGCCACTGCAGCCTCGACCTGCCGGGCTTAAGCAATCCTTCTGTCTCAACCTTCCAAGTAACTGGAACTACAGGAATACGCCATCACACCCAGTTTATTTTTTTTTATTTATTGTAGAGGTGAGGTCTTGCCAAGTGGCCCAGACTGGTCGCAAACCCATAGGTTCAGGCAATTTTCTCACCTTGTCTTCCCAAAGTGCTGGGATTATAGGCATGAGCCACTGCACCAGGCCTCTAAAATATTTTTAAAATTTCAAATCAGAAAATGTCATTATTTATTTTAACATGTTAAATTGGAGGCATGACCCCTTAGTCCTTAGATTTTTGCAAATACTAATTTAATTTATACCCTAGGTTAGGCTTGTAATAAATATGGAATAAATGATATAAAATTGATATTGATTCTTTGATTTTTATATTCTGATTGCATTTTTCATTGATCATTCTTTTAATTCCTTTAATTCATTTATTTAAGCTTTATGACTATGTATACTGATGATTTAATAAAATATATGTTCAGTGTTCTGGACCTAGTATTCAGAATATTTCAAAGTTTTTTGAGGTGATTTCTTCTTATTTCCCCACTGTTTGTGTTCTAGAGACTAACATCTAGAAATACTAGATATTGTAGATATCACATATTCTATGTGAATAATCAAAATATGTAAATTCCACTTATGTGATTTATCCTTTTAAAAATGCTTCCTTTTAGACATATGTTTGCTTTCTACTATTAGAATATATCTGAGATTCTTTTTTGACAATACAATTACATGGGTAGTTTCACAAAATTTTATGGTCTTGAGATTATCAAATCACTTTTGTTGTAAGATTCTTTGTTGTTTGACAGAAACCATAGGTCCCAGGTGCTAAGGTTGTGAATATGGTAGTTGAGGGATATAGATAGTTTTCTGTCAATTTGGCATTCCAGAGTGCAAATGGAAGATACAATTTGCATACTGTTCAAAATGCCACCTACCCAAAGAATGGCATCATGATAATGCAGATTAGGTTTACTGAGCAGAGGAGAATAACATCTCAAGATTCAGTATGCTAATTAGGAAGAACTGATCATAATAAACCCTGACTATAACATTTATTCTTTCCCTGTAACCATTTTTACACACATTTACACCTGAATGGGTTTATTTGCACAAAATATACATGCATCTTAATGATTTTATGCATGTGCTTATCTATATACATATGATACATAAATGCATACTGTTATTTACCAATGCATCTTCTGTATATTAAGTGTTTATGTAAGGACTTATCTATATGTATGTATATATGTACATACATAGGCAGACATAGTCTCATTTCCAGTTAAATTCTGTTATACTTCTACCTTTTTATTTGTACTTTAATAACAAATGTGATACGTTACACTAAATTTGAATTAATCTAAAATTTGAATGCATTATACATTTGAAAAGACCCACGTTTATTTAAGTATGTAAAGCACCAAATTGTACATTGGTATTCTCCAATATAACATTATAGTTACAGAGCAAATAATTATTATAGATTTTTATATGCCCAGAAAATTGTGATTATATGACTTAAACTATAAGATGTCAGTGATTTTAAATCTAAAGTTTTGTAAATATTCCATAATATTTACTTCTTTCTAAAATATTTTCAACGTGGTGGAATGATTTCAAATCAAATTATCAATGTTTTAGGCAAAGATGACTCAACTGCCTGAGGCAGAAAAGGAAAAGATTGCTGAGCAAGTTGCTGATTTCAAGAAAGTAAAGAGTAAACTGGATGCAGAGATTGAGATATGGGATGATACAAGCAATGATATCATTGTTCTGGCCAAGAAGATGTGTATGATCATGATGGAGATGACAGACTTCACAAGGTAATTATGTGGAAAACTATATGCAATATTTATAATGGTTAGAAACATTGAACATCGAATCAATCTCATGATTCTCTGAGGGTCAGATGCCAAAAGTCAGGTGGGAGGGACAAAGCAAATAATATAGAATAAAAAAGTTGTAGGTGTGTAATTCTAGAGGTGTTGATAAATAAATAAGTATGCAAGGTTTCTCATGAACTGCTGAGGTATTACTTTAGACACCACTTTATATCCTCACCTTCACTTTCCCCAGAATCTGGTCTGTGTATCCTATTAGTATGTTACTGTGGCAAAGAAATAGGTAAATCGAGTTACATTGCTATTGGAGTTATCTGAATGTTGATTTCTATAACTGCATAATTTCAGTTATGATGATTTGTAGTATCATCAGGATGGTGATATTCTTTGATATTTAGATAGAAACTAGATGTATTTGAAGTTACAATGTTTTGCGATCACCATGAAGGAAGTATACATTGTGTGTATATTCCAGAATTAATAAAAATGTGTTATAGCTTTAAAGTGTCATTCTATAGAGCTAGCCAAAAAGCAATACAATATGTAGTGCTTACCCTACCAGTTACTAAAATATACAAAACTAATCATTAAAATAATTCTATCTTGATGTAAGTTATAAAAGTCATGGAACAAAAGAACACCCTGAAGCTGATCTAGTACATTTAGAAAAGCATTAATTTATATCACTGTATATATTATGTCCCCAAATAAATTTCAGATGAAGCAATGAAGTAAATGATAATTTCAACATCATAGTTGACATTAAATGTACATGAATCTTTCACCAATATTAAGATTGAGAAAAAGTTTGTAAAAATTGCACTCAAAGGAAGAGCTGATGAAGAAAATATTAAATTGAGCAACTTGAAAAGTTTTGTAGAATGTCCTAAATATGTTGAAATGTTAATGGATTACTGGGTAAACAAAAAAGTGACAAAAATGTGATTCCACCCATACACAAAAAAAATGGACTTGAGACAAAGTATGGTGGTGCAAACATAAATATCATAAGCTTTATAGTAATCTAGCAATATGTATAAACTAAAAACCTTTATAAACTTTTGATATGTATACTATCTGTATTTGTATCTTTATTGCACTTCAAGGAATCTATTCCAAGGAAATAATCTGTAATGATAAATTTTTGCATAAAATAATTATAGAATTATTCAAAATAATAAAATAATTAGAATGATTAAATTAATAATGGCCTGCCATGTGAAGAAGAGTCTATAAAAAATAAAGTCAAGTGTTTGGGGGCGTTTTTTTTGAGTTGGAGTCTCACTCTGTCACCCAGGCTAGAGTGCAGTGGCACACTGATGGCCACCCCAGCATTGACCTGTTGGGCTCTGGCTATCCTTCTGCCTCAGCCTTCCAAGTAACCAGAACTATAGGCATGCACCAACACACCCAGTTAATTTTTTATTTATTGTAGAGATAAGGTCTTGCCATAAAGTCAAGTTTTTAAAAAAACCTATTTAAGAAAAAATAGACTATTTAATGAAAAGAAAAAAGCAGTCTGATGTAAGTTACATAGTATATGCATGGATGTCTGACTCTTCTCTTATGGGTATTTTGTTTTGTTGTATGTCAAACCTGCCCTTTATGACAGAACTTATTCTACTTTGTATTCTTTTGAAAGAAAATCTACTTTTCAAAGAATGTGGGCAGTAAAGATTTTACTGCAGCATTCAATGGAAAGTAAGAAAATGAAATTTAGAATAAATTATACATAGACATTCATAAGGAATACCTCTTTAGATAGTCATTTCTATTTTCCCCATTTAGCTCTTGCCATTTGCCCAATCTCAGCCTATATTTTCTAAATGTCTTTTCATTCCTTTTCATCCAGAGAATAATTCAGTTTTGGCCCATGGCTCAAATTCTGAAGACAAAGATTGAAGTCCTTTATCTCTCTCTCAGTCTCTCTTTCTGTCTCCCTTTTTGTTCACATGCATAATCACACTTATATATAATATAGGCATATATAACATAGACATGCATATGTTTATATGTTCAAAAAACAAAACCATTTAATACAATGGTATTAAATAATGTTTATGTATTGGTAGTTGAATTATGAATAATTGATTTACAATGTTTAGCCTTCTGTAATTTGTTGATGTCCTATTATAAACCTGTAATCATTTAAAAAATTATAATTTTGTTTTAGGTTGGCCCTAGAATAGTGATAGTTGACTAAATTTAAATTACTCAACACACTTCCTAAAAGTTAAAACCAAAAAGTAGCACAAAAAAGCCTTTCATGATGCCAGATTTCAACATTACTAAAATACAAAGAATAGTATGAATTTCAAATTAACTACAGAAATATACACCAAATTCCAACAAAGCTACTTCTGTTACTCTGTCATTGATGAAACCTTTCCCCTAACAAAAAAAAGAATTACAAAATACAAAATAAAACTGTAGCACAGCATTTCAAACTGAAATACATGTCAAAAAATAAACTAATAAAAAGATTAGAAGAGAAATAAACCAAAGACGAAAAGAAAGTTAAGAATGCATTGAGTTGATTATACTTAGGGAAAACAAAGTGTTAAAGCAAATCTCAAAAATTACAAATAAATTATAAAGTATCAATTGGTGAATATAAATATAAATTTCACAAGAACCACTGAAAATAAGCAGGGTGTTAGTCAAGATAATGGCTCTGAGTTAAAGACAGAGAATAATAAGAGGGTCGGAGGAAAAGAGGTTGCAAGAAGCAAAGAAGATCTAGTACACAAGACATTTGGAACTTTGAATAAGTTCAAGAATGATAAAACAACTAATATTTTAAAATATAAATTAAAAAATTTCCATATATAAGAGTAAACATAAATGTACACTTTGAAAGACCTTTATTATGTACCTGGGAAATTTGACTCAGAACAATTTATACTAAACACACACACACACACACACGCACGCACGCACACACACACACACACACACACAAACACATTTTCCTAATATAAAAAAAAATTCTGGAATATCATGCATATTATATTATGTAATATATTCTAATTGAATAATAAGAATTTACTAAAGCTATCCTCAGCACCAAAGAGAAGTGGCAGCTGATTTTAGCTTTGACTTCATTTATTGTTACTTTTATATCGCTAAACAATACGCCTTTATTCTTTTTTTTTTTTTTTTTGAGTTGGAGTCTCACTCTGTTGCCCAGACTGGAGTACAGTGGCTGCTCCCCGCCACCGCAGCCTCGACCTGCTGTGCTCTGGCGATCCTTCCGCCTCAGCCTTCTGAATAGCCAGAATTACAGGCACACGCTACCATGCCCGGCTGATTTTTTGATTTATTGTAGAGATGAGGTCTCGCCAAGTTGCCCAAGCGGGTCTTGAACCTGCGGGCTCAGGCAATCCACTCATCTCAGCCTCCCAAAGGCACAGGATTACAGGCTGAGCCACCAAGCCCGGCTCGCTTTTATTCTTAAGATGTAATTTTTGACTTTTTCCACAAATGAGGTTTTAGGTATCTCATATAGCTTTTCATATTCTTTTCATCTTCTAGGATTACCTAGTTCATTTGTTCATATATTCCCTGCCTCCATATTCATAACTGAGTATGAATTGTATGAAATTATGAGATGTGTCTTGTTTGTTTTATACTCAGAATTGATGACAGCATATTTAGCTACATATGCTTAATATATATTTAATATATAGCTGTTGGATGAATTAAATTATAAAACACAACTTCAATTGAGAAGGAACCAGGAATAAACAAACAAAAAACTTGAACAAAAACCAGAGAGATATGCTAAAATTTAAGATCTTGAAACTCATTCCTTTTGTTTGTTGTTTATTTGTTAACCCTTATATAGATCCTAAATGTTGAACACAAAGATTTTAATTTTAATGTCCATATAGCATTAAAAAGAGACACACAGTCAGGGAAGATGGAACTAAGATACTTGAAAAAACCTAGAGCCATGCCTATAAAAAGATAACTAGGAATATATCCATGAATCCGCCAGAAGGGACATTAAGGGTAACTGCTTTTCCCTGGGGATCTTGTTCAAATAAAGGTCATCCTTAAAAAATAGAGATCCCAAGTCTATGACCTATTGAACTGATGAATTTCAAGTTGTATAATCAGAAATGCTAACCTGAAATAAATATTAAGATACAAGAAGCAATGGTGAGCAAAAGAATTAGAAACTGTGTTGTTATGTTTAAATAAGGCTTGTAGAAAAACAATAATAACAAAAAGAGATTATTTGAAATGATCATACTATACAGGAAACATGTAAGATTGTAGAACAGAATTAAAATGGTCTTTAGTCTTATATTAAGGAAAAATTTTAAAGTGTTATCATTATATTTTACTATCTAGAGAATTATATACAGTATATATACATTTTTAAATTTCCAAGGGAAATAATAATGAAAATAGAACTAATAGAATACACTTCTCATATCAGTAGATGAAATTAATATAGAGGGGATAAAATAAGTTAGAAAATTAAAAAATAGAAAAGAAAATGTAAAGTGAATACATAAATACAATACTGTGATAAATTATACTAAGTATATCTATAATTTCTTAATATGTAGATGTGGTTAGTGTCCTAGTTTTTTTAAACAAAACTGTAAGTATAATAATACAATAGGTAAAAACGACCAAAAAAAAAAATTATCATTTAACTTAGAGGCATATAGGAATCTTTTTTCATAGGAACTACGGGGTACAGGAGGAAATCCCTCTCTAAAAGAATAAGGAAATGTGTAATAAATGCAAGGAGTTTGAAAATTAAATGCCTAATGGCATCTATTTGCTGGGTGATGCCTTTTGTGGAATATAAGAAAGCTTGAAAAGACAAGAGCAGAGTGATAGCTTGGGTAGAGAAACAGATCTGGATATATGCATATAAAAGGTAATCCACAGGCATATGTATGTATTTTCAGTCCTAGGCTGGAAAGGAATTTGCAACAGAACTGAAACTACTGGAAATGATA